CGGTCTCGGTCTCTGGTCACGCGTGTGCCGTCGGTCTCTGGTCACGCGTGTGCCGTCGGTCTCTGGTCACGCGTGTGCCGTCGGTCTCTGGTCACGCGTGTGCCGTCGGTCTCTGGTCACGCGTGTGCCGTCTGTCTCTGGTCACGCGTGTGCCGTCTGTCTCTGGTCACGCGTGTGCCGTCTGTCTCTGGTCACGCGTGTGCCGTCGGTCTCGGTCTCTGGTCACGCGTGTGCCGTCGGTCTCGGTCTCTGGTCACGCGTGTGCCGTCGGTCTCGGTCTCTGGTCACGCGTGTGCCGTCGGTCTCGGTCTCTGGTCACGCGTGTGCCGTCGGTCTCTGGTCACGCGTGTGCCGTCGGTCTCTGGTCACGCGTGTGCCGTCGGTCTCTGGTCACGCGTGTGCCGTCGGTCTCTGGTCACGCGTGTGCCTCGGTCTCTGGTCACGCGTGTGCCTCGGTCTCTGGTCACGCGTGTGCCTCGGTCTCTGGTCACGCGTGTGCCGTTGGTCTCTGGTCACGCGTGTGCCTCGGTCTCTGGTCACGCGTGTGCCTCGGTCTCTGGTCACGCGTGTGCCTCGGTCTCTGGTCACGCGTGTGCCGTCTGTCTCTGCTCACGCGTGTGCCGTCGGTCTCTGGTCACGCGTGTGCCGTCGGTCTCTGGTCACGCGTGTGCCGTCGGTCTCTGGTCACGCGTGTGCCGTCGGTCTCTGGTCACGCGTGTGCCTCGGTCTCGGTCTCTGGTCACGCGTGTGCCGTCGGTCTCGGTCACTGGTCACGCGTGTGCCGTCGGTCTCTGGTCACGCGTGTGCCGTCGGTCTCTGGTCACGCGTGTGCCGTCGGTCTCTGGTCACGCGTGTGCCGTCTGTCTCTGGTCACGCGTGTGCCGTCTGTCTCTGGTCACGCGTGTGCCGTCGGTCTCGGTCTCTGGTCACGCGTGTGCCGTCGGTCTCTGGTCACGCGTGTGCCGTCGGTCTCTGGTCACGCGTGTGCCGTCGGTCTCTGGTCACGCGTGTGCCGTCGGTCTCTGGTCACGCGTGTGCCGTCGGTCTCTGGTCACGCGTGTGCCGTCGGTCTCTGGTCACGCGTGTGCCTCGGTCTCGGTCTCTGGTCACGCGTGTGCCGTCGGTCTCGGTCACTGGTCACGCGTGTGCCGTCGGTCTCTGGTCACGCGTGTGCCGTCGGTCTCTGGTCACGCGTGTGCCGTCTGTCTCTGGTCACGCGTGTGCCGTCGGTCTCGGTCTCTGGTCACGCGTGTGCCGTCGGTCTCTGGTCACGCGTGTGCCGTCGGTCTCTGGTCACGCGTGTGCCGTCGGTCTCTGGTCACGCGTGTGCCGTCGGTCTCTGGTCACGCGTGTGCCGTCGGTCTCTGGTCACGCGTGTGCCGTCGGTCTCTGGTCACGCGTGTGCCGTCGGTCTCTGGTCACGCGTGTGCCGTCGGTCTCTGGTCACGCGTGTGCCGTCTGTCTCTGGTCACGCGTGTGCCGTCTGTCTCTGGTCACGCGTGTGCCGTCTGTCTCTGGTCACGCGTGTGCCGTCTGTCTCTGGTCACGCGTGTGCCGTCTGTCTCTGGTCACGCGTGTGCCGTCGGTCTCGGTCTCTGGTCACGCGTGTGCCGTCGGTCTCTGGTCACGCGTGTGCCGTCGGTCTCTGGTCACGCGTGTGCCGTCGGTCTCTGGTCACGCGTGTGCCGTCGGTCTCTGGTCACGCGTGTGCCTCGGTCTCGGTCTCTGGTCACGCGTGTGCCGTCGGTCTCGGTCACTGGTCACGCGTGTGCCGTCGGTCTCTGGTCACGCGTGTGCCGTCGGTCTCTGGTCACGCGTGTGCCGTCGGTCTCTGGTCACGCGTGTGCCGTCTGTCTCTGGTCACGCGTGTGCCGTCTGTCTCTGGTCACGCGTGTGCCGTCTGTCTCTGGTCACGCGTGTGCCGTCTGTCTCTGGTCACGCGTGTGCCGTCGGTCTCGGTCTCTGGTCACGCGTGTGCCGTCGGTCTCTGGTCACGCGTGTGCCGTCGGTCTCTGGTCACGCGTGTGCCGTCGGTCTCTGGTCACGCGTGTGCCGTCGGTCTCTGGTCACGCGTGTGCCTCGGTCTCGGTCTCTGGTCACGCGTGTGCCGTCGGTCTCGGTCACTGGTCACGCGTGTGCCGTCGGTCTCTGGTCACGCGTGTGCGGTCGGTCTCTGGTCACGCGTGTGCCGTCTGTCTCTGGTCACGCGTGTGCCGTCGGTCTCGGTCTCTGGTCACGCGTGTGCCGTCTGTCTCTGGTCACGCGTGTGCCGTCTGTCTCTGGTCACGCGTGTGCCGTCTGTCTCTGGTCACGCGTGTGCCGTCTGTCTCTGGTCACGCGTGTGCCGTCGGTCTCGGTCTCTGGTCACGCGTGTGCCGTCGGTCTCTGGTCACGCGTGTGCCGTCGGTCTCTGGTCACGCGTGTGCCGTCGGTCTCTGGTCACGCGTGTGCCGTCGGTCTCTGGTCACGCGTGTGCCGTCGGTCTCTGGTCACGCGTGTGCCTCGGTCTCGGTCTCTGGTCACGCGTGTGCCGTCGGTCTCGGTCACTGGTCACGCGTGTGCCGTCGGTCTCTGGTCACGCGTGTGCCGTCGGTCTCTGGTCACGCGTGTGCCGTCGGTCTCTGGTCACGCGTGTGCCGTCTGTCTCTGGTCACGCGTGTGCCGTCGGTCTCGGTCTCTGGTCACGCGTGTGCCGTCGGTCTCTGGTCACGCGTGTGCCGTCGGTCTCTGGTCACGCGTGTGCCGTCGGTCTCTGGTCACGCGTGTGCCGTCGGTCTCTGGTCACGCGTGTGCCGTCGGTCTCTGGTCACGCGTGTGCCGTCGGTCTCTGGTCACGCGTGTGCCGTCGGTCTCTGGTCACGCGTGTGCCGTCGGTCTCTGGTCACGCGTGTGCCTCGGTCTCTGGTCACGCGTGTGCCTTGGTCTCTGGTCACGCGTGTGCCTCGGTCTCTGGTCACGCGTGTGCCGTCTGTCTCTGCTCACGCGTGTGCCGTCTGTCTCTGGTCACGCGTGTGCCGTCTGTCTCTGGTCACGCGTGTGCCGTCGGTCTCTGGTCACGCGTGTGCCGTCGGTCTCTGGTCACGCGTGTGCCGTCGGTCTCTGGTCACGCGTGTGCCGTCGGTCTCTGGTCACGCGTGTGCCGTCGGTCTCTGGTCACGCGTGTGCCGTCGGTCTCTGGTCACGCGTGTGCCGTCGGTCTCTGGTCACGCGTGTGCCGTCGGTCTCTGGTCACGCGTGTGCCGTCGGTCTCTGGTCACGCGTGTGCCGTCGGTCTCTGGTCACGCGTGTGCCGTCGGTCTCTGGTCACGCGTGTGCCGTCGGTCTCTGGTCACGCGTGTGCCGTCGGTCTCTGGTCACGCGTGTGCCGTCGGTCTCTGGTCACGCGTGTGCCGTCGGTCTCTGGTCACGCGTGTGCCGTCGGTCTCTGGTCACGCGTGTGCCGTCGGTCTCTGGTCACGCGTGTGCCGTCGGTCTCTGGTCACGCGTGTGCCGTCGGTCTCTGGTCACGCGTGTGCCGTCGGTCTCTGGTCACGCGTGTGCCGTCGGTCTCTGGTCACGCGTGTGCCGTCGGTCTCTGGTCACGCGTGTGCCGTCGGTCTCTGGTCACGCGTGTGCCGTCGGTCTCTGGTCACGCGTGTGCCGTCGGTCTCTGGTCACGCGTGTGCCGTCTGTCTCTGTTACTGGTCACGCGTGTGCCGTCGGTCTCTGGTCACGCGTGTGCCTCGGTCTCTGGTCACGCGTGTGCCGTCGGTCTCGGGTCACGCGTGTGCCGTCGGTCTCGGGTCACGCGTGTGCCGTCGGTCTCTGGTCACGCGTGTGCCGTCGGTCTCTGGTCACGCGTGTGCCGTCGGTCTCTGGTCACGCGTGTGCCGTCGGTCTCTGGTCACGCGTGTGCCGTCGGTCTCTGGTCACGCGTGTGCCGTCGGTCTCTGGTCACGCGTGTGCCGTCGGTCTCTGGTCACGCGTGTGCCGTCGGTCTCTGGTCACGCGTGTGCCGTCGGTCTCTGGTCACGCGTGTGCCGTCGGTCTCTGGTCACGCGTGTGCCGTCGGTCTCTGGTCACGCGTGTGCCGTCGGTCTCTGGTCACGCGTGTGCCGTCGGTCTCTGGTCACGCGTGTGCCTCGGTCTCTGGTCACGCGTGTGCCGTCCTTCAGATCAACCGTTGGGTGTCTCATCAGCATCATGTGACAGAACGACCGGCTCTTGCTGTTTGCACTGGGGATGGCTCCGGTCTCTGGACATAGTCTTTGTGTGAAAAGCTGCTTTAAAAGTGAATTTCAAATATTGTTGAATCCAATATTGCAAAATCCAGTGAAGTAGGATTTCCGGGAAAAAAACATGGAGGCCTGCAAAGTGGAGTTTTTTCCTTTTTCTGCTTTTCGCTTGTATTACTTGTTTTTGTGTTGCTTTTCAATGCGATAAACCCCACATTTCTGCCTCTGTCACTGCTATGAAGTTTGTAATACTCAAAAGTTACTATTGTTGATGTTTTGACCTCCAAACATGAAACTACGATGCACCGGTCTATCTATAAAGTCTAAGGTCAGGAAAGAAATGTTTCACAGAAACGCACAAACAAGAGCAAATGGGCCATGGCGATAAAAGTAACCAAAAACACACAAATATACTGGTGATTTATTTACTGTGCCTCACAATTCTGCTTTGTGTTTTAATAATTCGTTTCTGGTCAATTTGCGCCTTTGAGACGACTGAACACAAGAAATAGTACAAATTGGTTTTCTGTATATACGGACTATTGGTTTAGATTTTGAGGTCTTATTCTTTCCAAATCGGTGAATTAAAGTACTTAAAATCAAGTGTATCATCAGGATTATTTGATTTGTTAATTGAGACCATTAAAACAGCTTTTGAACTGAGATCCACACTTCTGCCTGAAGTGGTAAATGTGGCGCTAACATTGTCCATGAAACTCAGGTACCCGAGCTTTAAAGGTGATGACTGGCCTTAACCCTGTCTCTCCCACAGGGCCCTGCGGTCCC